CCAACAAATCATTAAAGAAACGTCTTTCAACTCTTGAAAATGATTTTGAAAAACTGGAAAAAGATAATGAAAAGTTGAAACAAGAAAATAAATTTTATGGTAAAAGAAGTGCTGACAAACCGGAAAGCTCTTCAAGTGAATGTGAATCTTGCAAAGCTTTAAAAGAAAAAGTTGCAAAACTTGAGAGTACGGTTAAGAAGTTTAATACACCACACAAGGATCTCAATTTACTCCTAGACACTATGCATTTTTCTAAGGAAGGAATAGGTTTTGGTAAAAATGAATCTAAGGATAAAAACGTTGAGCATACACCTAGACAACTTACTAAGGCTCAACGCAAGAAAGTTAAAAATCAGGATAATAGAAAATCTAGTCAACCTAAGGACACTAGAAAACCTAGACAAAAACCTAGGAATGAAAATGTGCATGCTAGACAACCTAGGAAAAATTATCAAAATGATTTTGTGCGTAAAAATAATTTTTCAAATAGACAAAATAATGCTAGGACACCTAGAAGAGAGAATTTTCAAAAACCAATATTTTCTCAAAATAGGATGAATATGGTAAGGCCCCCTAGCAACTATTATCAACCTAGGAGGATGCACAACCCAAACGTAGTTTGTCACTATTGCAATAGGGTAGGACATATAGCTCCCGTTTGCTTTACTAGGCATAGGCATTGGGCACAAAATGAATCACACTATCACTTTGCACCTAACACTCAAGGACCCAAAAAGACTTTGGTACCTAAATCTTATTAAATCATTTTTGTAGGTGTGCTTGAAGGCGTCAAGTGTACTTTGGTACCTTGATAGCGGATGCTCCAAGCACATGACTGGAGATGCATCCAAGTTCATACAAATCAAACCCGCTAAAGGAGGAAACGTAGTCTTTGGAGATAATAGCAAGGGAAAAATTATTGGCGTCGGTTCAGTAGGTAAGTCCGAAGACTCCTCTACAGATAATGTCTTGCTTGTTAAAGGTCTTAAACACAATCTCTTGAGCATAAGTCAATTATGTGACAAGGGAAACCGTGTGACCTTCGATTCAAAATCATGGACGGTAGAACGCCTTAGTGACAATAAGGTCATTCTACGTGGTGATAGAATCGATAACATATATATGGTTAACTTAGACAAATCTCCTTCCGGCTTTGCGAAGTGCCACATGAGTAAAGAGGAAGACACTTGGTTATGGCACCGAAGGGTAGCTCACAAAAGTGAGGCATTTCACGCTTTCAAAAATTTTCTAAAGAAAGTCCAAAATGAAAAAGAAACAACCATAGTAGCCATAAGAAGCGATCATGGGAGAGAGTTCGAACGAAATCTATTCTCAGATTTATGTGACGAACTCGGCATTGATCATAATTTCTCAGCCCCACGTACACCACAACAAAATGGAATGGTGGAACGTAAAAATAGATGTCTCGAAGAGATGGCCAGAACTATGATCAATGAGGCAAAAATCCCTAAGTATTTTTGGGCGGATGCCGTGAGTACCGCGAGCTACGTGTTAAACCGAGCCGTCATTCGACTGATACTCATGAAAACGCCTTATGAACTATACAAAGGGAGAAAGCCAAACCTTTCCCATCTTTGAGTCTTTGGCTGCAAATGTTTTATTCATAACAATGGTAAAGACAACATAGGCAAATTTGATGCCAAGTCGGATGAAGGCATTTTTCTGGGTTATTCTCTTCGTAGCAAGGCCTATAGAGTCTTTAATAAACGAACCTTGAGCATTGAGGAGTCCCCTCACGTTGTATTTTCCGAAGATAATCCTCGCTTGGCGAGAAAGGATATTTGTGATGATCTTGCAGATTCATTAGAGAGAATACACTTCGAAGACGATGAAGAGAACACAGGAATATACACCAACACGCAGCCGCAAATTGGAGAGACACCTCAAGAGACTAACCAAGGTGAAGAAGAAAATCAAGAGGAAGAAGAAGAACAAGAGGAACACGAAGAAGAAGCAACCGAGCTTCCCATTGCATGGAGAACGAACAAGAATCATCCGCTTGACCAGGTAATCGGTAGCATCAACCGCGGGGTAAGTACTCGTAGCTCACTTAGGGACACCGTAGGACACATGGCTTTTGTTTCTCAAACTGAACCTACAACCATTTCCGAAGCAATAAACAATGAACATTGGACCTTGGCCATGCAAGAGGAGCTAAACCAATTCAAACGGAATGATGTTTGGGAATTGGTGCCAAGGCCCGATGATCGTACGATTATTGGTACGAAATGGGTGTTCCGTAACAAACTTGATGAAAATGGAATAATCACTATCGTACAAAGCTAGGCTTGTAGCTAAAGGCTACAATCAAGAAGAAGGCATTGATTTCGAAGAAACTTATGCACCCGTAGCACGTTTAGAAGCTATTCATTTACTTCTTGCTTTTGCTTCGTCTATGGATTTTAAACTTTATCAAATGAATGTTAAGAGTGCCTTCCTCAATGGTTTTATTCAAGAGGAAGTGTATCTTGACCAGCCCCCGAGGATTGAAGACTTTGAGTTTCTGGACCATGTCTTCAAACTCAAGAAAGCGCTCTACGGTCTTAAACAAGCACCCCGTGCTTGGTACGAACGGTTGAGTAAATTTCTTTTGGATAGTGGTTTCCAAAGGGGAAAGGTTGACACTACACTTTTTATCAAGAGTAAAAAAAATAACATCCTTTTGGTTCAAGTTTATGTAAACGATATTATATTCGGTGCTACTAACGAGTCTTTGTGCAAGGAATTCTCAACGTTAATGACAAACGAGTTCGAAATGTCGATGATGGGTGAGCTCACATTCTTTTTGGGACTCCAAGTCAAGCAAATGAAAGATGGCACGTTCATTTGTCAAACTAAATATTGCAAGGAGCTCCAAAAATGGTTTGAAATGGACACCGCCAAAGCCATGGCGACCCCGATGAGCACATCTGGCCATCTAGACAAAGACGAGAAAGGTAAGGAAGTAGAAGTCAAAAAGTATCGAGGTATGATCGGATCCCTTCTCTATCTTACCGTTAGTAGGTCGGATATCATGTTTAGCGTATGCCTTTGCGCAAGGTATCAATCATGTCCGAAGGAATCGCACCTAACAGCTGTGAAACGGACCATGAAATACCTTGTTGGCACGGTTAACGTTGGACTGTGGTATCCAAAAGGCTCTTCATGACATCTCGTTGGTTATTCCAACTCGGACATTGCCGGTTGCAAATTGGACCGTAAAAGTACGAGTGGGACTTGCCACTTACTTGGTAGCTCTTAAGTTTCATGGTTTAGTAAGAAACAAGTCAGTGTTGCGTTATCCACAACCGAAGCGAAATACGTTGCCGCCGGTAGTTGTTGTGCTCAAATCCTTTGGATGAAGCGAAAACTTGTGGATTATGGCCTTAGTATCAGTCACGTTCCACTCCGTTGTGATAATACTAGCGCCATAAGCTTGACGAAGAACCCCGTTCTTCATTCAAGGACGAAACACATTGGCATTAGGCACCATTTCATTAGAGATCATGTTCTCAAAGGTGATGTCGAAATTGAGTTTGTTGAAACACACAACCAATTAGCCGACATTTTCACAAAACCTTTAGAGAAAGAGTCGTTCTTCCGCATTCGTAGTGAACTCGGAATCCTTGACTCCACGATGATCTAATTTGTGTATTTATCATTTTTTTTCTTTGCTTGAACGTTTACTAACTTGAGCGTCGGAGGGTTTTCTAACTCTTTTTTGCAGGGACGGTCGAAGTGCAGAATTCTGGAAATCAGGGGGAACCAGCGATGGGTGGGCTATACCATCGCTGGGAGGGGAGTATTCACCTTTTCCAGAACCCCTCTTCCCATTGATGGGTAATTGACTCTTTTTTTAAAATCTTTTAACGTTATTTTTTTCCAGAAACACCTTACCCATCGATGGGTATCTCACCACATCGCTGGGTGAAGGACTTTTGTCAAAAATAATTTTTTCCAGAACCTCCCTACCCATCGATGGGAACCCACTCCTATCGCTGGGTGTTTGACACTATCTTTTTTAAATTTTTTTATCGGATTCCCAAAATCACCAACCCAGCGATGGGATGGTATTAACATCGGTGGGAAGGCTTTCGTCTTTTATCCTTCACTTTCTAGAATCCACCTTCCCATCGATGGGAGAATCCACACATCGCTGGGAAGGCAGTTCAGTTTTCCCCTTCGCTTTCCAGTGGCGACCTTCCCATCGATGGGAACTTCTACCCATCGCTGGGAAGCCTCATGCAATTCAAAATTTTTTGACCGTTGGGCAACGAATTTAATGCCCAACAGTCATATTTTTTGAACTCAATCCGGTTTCCACCCCTTCCCTATATATACACACCTTGTTTTATCATTCCTAATCACAAATTTACATCCCAAATTCAATCTCCTAATCAAATTTCATTCTTTCTTCTTCATAACCCCTTTATAAACCTCACTCCTTGGTCATTTTTAAAATGAACAAGCACTCCTAAAATCCCCTAATCTTGAAGTTATAATCCTCCATTCATTTCTTCCTCAAATTGATATATTTTGAGAGAAAACTAAGTGTTTTCAAGAGAGTGTTCTTTTCATCCATAGAACTTAATCTTTTCTCATTTCTACTCTTGTGAGAGTTATTGCTGAGAGGTTGAAGAAGATTGTTCTTCTTGTTGTTCAAGACTTATGTGACTTAAGTCTTGGATGTGAAGTCTTGTAGAAGGTACATCTACGAGCGGTTGTGTTGAGGCGTGTGAGATTCAAGTTCTCGGTTTGTAAACGGTTTTTCAAGCACCCGTTGAAGCTTGATAAGTAGTGGTAGCTTCGAGAGAGTCTCTCGGGGAACTGGACTAGCCACGAGGTGGTGAACCAGTATACATCGGTGTGTTCTTTTCCTTCTCTCTTTTATTTCCGCTGCACTTACGATTATATTATTATCCTGTGAAAATTGGTAATCATTCTGAACAACTCTATTCACCCCCCCCCCCTCTAGAGTTGCACGCATTGTCTAACAATTGGTATCGGAGCAGGTATCTCTAACGCTCCTTGTGACGTTTGAGAAAACGATCAATTTTTTTTATAATGTTGAACGTAGGGATAAGACAAGGGCAATCCACCGTAAGGCCACCATTTTTTGATGGAACGAATTACTCCTATTGGAAGGAGCGTATGAAATTTTTTGTTCAATCTAATAACTTCAAAATTTGGCTTGCTATCAAGAATGGAGATAGCTTGCCAATAAAGAAGATAGGCGATGCACTTATCCCGAAGGACGAGGATGAATATGATGAAGCCGATCTTAAGAAGGCTCAATTGAATGCCACCGCCATCAACTTCTTGTATTGTGGTGTCAATGCCAACGATTATCAAAAGATATCTCGTTGCCAAACCAACAATCAAATGTGGAACAAGCTCATGATCACATACGAAGGTACGCCTCAAGTTCGTGAATCAAAAATTGATTTACTAACCCATGAATATGAGTTATTTGCTATGAAAGAGAACAAACTTGTGGAGGACATGTTTGGAAGATTTTCAAACATCGTCAACGACCTTGATATGCTTGGAAAGACACTCACCGACAAAGAGTTAGTGAGAAAAATTCTGCGAAGTCTTACCAAGGAATGGGAGTCGAAGGTTAACTCCATTTACGAAGGCCGAGATTACAACGTCATCACATACGACGGTCTTCGAGGTAACCTTATCACTTACGAAACAAATCGTCTTTCTCATACTCTTGACGTTAAGAAGAGAACGGGAATTTCTTTTAAAGCATCTTCTTCTCACAAAGTAGAGATTGGTGATTCAGATTCGGATAGTGATAGTGATTCTAGCACTTCCTATGATATTTTGGTTGAATGTTTTAACGAGTTTTTGAAACATGAGCAAAACAAGAGCAAGAAGAAAATCACCCCAAAATGTCACAAGTGCGGAAAGCTTGGCCACCAAAAATTTGAGTGCCCGAAGCTCAAGAAGATTAGAAAACAAGATGAATTCGCGTATTTTTCGTGGAAGTATGATGAACCTTCCAAAGACGATTGCCTCATCGCTCTTGAAGAACAAGATGGGTGGTCGGGTACGTGACGCACATGGAAGGCGTGCTTGAAGACTACAAATTTGTAGTGGATGCTCCAAGCACTTAGCCAAAGAGATTGCATCAAAGGGGAGTAAATTCTTTTTTTTAAATTAAATGTTATCTTTTAGACTTATATGAATTTTTTTTGGGGAATATACATAGGACATTTGCATGTAGTAAGGGGGAATTTTTTGCTATATGTGTTAATCTTTTTCTATGCTTTTTTTAAGGGGAGATAGCATAATTTAAGGGGGAAGTATTTTATTTCCTAGAAATGCATGATTTTAGGGGAAATGTGATTTTTCTTATTTGTTTAGAAATTTTTTTTCTCTCCCCAGAATGCATGAGTTCTTTTGCTGCATTATTTTTGATAATGCCAAAAGGGGGAAGAGTATAGGAGTATATGCCTTATTTTGTTATTTGTTGAAAGCATATCCTCCATGTGTTTGTCATTATCAAAAAGGGGGAAATTGTTGGAATGCATGAGTTCAACCCTTTCTGTGTTGTTTAGTGTTGACTCACAGGTTTTGATAATTGACAAACACAATTTATTCAAGTCAACATTAAAGTGCTACAACGACAAATACGAAGACTTGAAGTGTCATTCCTTGAAGTATTCAAGAAGGTGCACAGGATTTTGATGAAGTCCGAGACGCGTCCGGAGCGCCTAACGGAGGACTCGGAGGAGTAGAAGTTTTCCGAAGACTTTTTATTTATTTGAGTCTTAGGAATTATTGTAAGGATGACAAAAATATCTTCTCTCCAAAATTATTTTTATGAGAGTAAAAATAAAAATTATATTTATTTTTGGAGTCAGTTGAAAAATCTTTTTAATTGTTCAAAATAGTTTTATTGAGTCAGTTACAAAAAGTGTGTCAAACATTTATCAAATATTTATTTTGATATTATAAAATATTTTTGGTAAGCAAAAATATTTTATTCAAATATTTTTCGTGTACATCATTTGACACACAAAATAATTTTTGGACTCACTTTTACTCCCTTATTCAAATTCATTGAATAAGAGAGGACGAGCGCTCCCTGATTCTTCTTGTCTCAAACAACGAGTTTGAGCCAATTCGCTCTCAATCGCAACAAGCCTTGGGCCCTTTGTGTTTGCGCATTATTTCCTTATTAATCGATTAATCTTCCAAAATTAATTGATTAACTGCTTATCGTTGGATTACCCTGGGCTGGAACATTAATCGATTTTTGCTCCTCTGTTAATCGATTAAGACTGGCAGAGCTGACTAATCGATTTTTTGATCTTCCTTTAATCGATTATCCTTTTCCTCGCAGACTCCATTAATCGATTTTTGAAGATGCTTTAATCGATTTTTTATGATGCATTAATCGATTAATGCGCTGCATCTTTTCTTGCACAGCTTCTTTTCCTGGACCAACGGATATATTCCTTCAACCCCTTTATAAACCTCACTCCTTGGTCATTTTTAAAATGAACAAGCACTCCTAAAATCCCCCAATCTTGAGGTTATAATCCTCCATTCATTTCTTTCTCAAATTGATATATTTTGAGAGAAAACTAAGTGTTTTCAAGAGAGTGTTCTTGTCATCCATAGAGCTTAATCTTTTCTCATTTCTACTCTTGTGAGAGTTATTGCTGAGAGGTTGAAGAAGATTGTTCTTCTTGTTGTTCAAGACGTATGTGACTTAAGTCTTGGTTGTGAAGTCTTGTAGAGGGTACATCTACGAGCGGTTTTGTTGAGGCTTGTGAGATTCAAGTTCTCGGTTTGTAAACGGTTTGTCAAGCACCCGTTGAAGCTTGATAAGTAGTGGTAGCTTCGAGAGAGTCTCTCGGGGAACTGGACTAGCCACGAGGTGGTGAACAGTATACATCGGTGTGTTCTTTGCCTTCTCTCTTTTATTTCCGCTGCACTTACGATTATATTATTATCTTGCGAAAATCGGTAATCATTCTCAACAACTCTATTCACCCCCCCTCTAGAGTTGCACGCATTGTCTAACAACCTTTACACAAAATTTCTCTAAAAAGCTATGGAAAAGAGTGTTGTTTGAATGCAATGAAAATTTGAATATTTTGAAGTGAATTTGATCAGAAACGTAGACCCAAACACCCCTTTTTATAGTGGCAAAATAGGCTCCAACGGACCAATGCACTAAAGGGATGATTGGCTTGATTTATGGGATTGAATAAATTTGGGATCTGTGGGATATTGGCTTCCCATCAATGTTTGGAACTTACCCATCGCTGGTAAGCCAATTTTTCCTTTAGTTTTGAAGCCTACCCATCGATGGGTACAAGCTTCCCATCGCTGGGTGGGAGGTTGACTTCCAAACAAGGAAAGAATCAACCTTAAATGACTTCCAACGGTCATGCCTTCCCATCGATGGTTTATCCTTACCATCGCTGGGTTCCCATCGATGGGGTAAAGTTCCCATCGCTGGGTAAGGTCGTTCTGCCTGGTGTTGATGTTGGACCAAGGCATTAACAGCGATGGGTAAAACTTCCCATCGCTGTTTGGCATGGTTCTGGAAATTGGTTAGGCTGAAGGACCGCCTACCCATCGATGGGAAGTTTTTCCCATCGCTGGGTGGGTGGTTAGCCAAAAACCCATGGTGTTTGCCTTAACCACGGCCTAGCCAACCGATGCAAAAACCGACCGAAAAATCCAAAGTTCTCCAAAATAAAAACCAAGTGTTTAAAACACTTATTTGATGTATTTGGATAAGAAATCAAGTGAGACATTTTAAAAGCCACGTCATTTGGGTAAAAACCACGGCTAGCCAAGTTTATGCCGTTTTACGTGGTTTTTGCCAAACAACCAAAACCGAAAGGTGGTTTTTAAGATGTTTTTGTTAGAGAACTGTTTAAACATGCCAAAAAGTAAAAACCAGTCATAAAATGTTGAAAACCACTTGGTTGGTTCGGACGCCAAAAACTAACACCGAATGCCGAACACCGGTTTGAAAAACATTTTTATGATATTATAAATGCAAAAATAGATTTTAGCCTAAAGAGCCAAGGCGTGAGGTTTGGGTCGGTCTTGATCACAATTGTGACCGACTCAACAACACTAAGACTACGGTCTTCGTTCTTGGTCTTCTTTTAGCTGTTGTTCTTATCTTCGTTCTTGGCCTTGTATATTCAATGACTTGTCTCGTTCTCGGAGGTTTGGCATTATCAAAACCTGTCATAAAGACGAACACGGCTTTAGTACAAAAATGTGACAAACCCGTGTTTCAACAGTTAGGTTTGTTTCTCTTAACATCTACGTTATATATTGCGGTATCCATGTCAAGGACATAGAGACCGTTGGTCATTTTTGCAGTTGCATAAAATACATCATTTCTAAAGACAGAAAGAGTTTTGTCTTTTACAACGAACGAAAATCCTTCTTTGTCAAGGATACAGAAATGATGTTTCTTCTCATACTAGGTACAAACAAACAATTATTTAACTGCAATACAAGACCACTAGGTAGAGATAAACTATAGGTTTCAACTGCTAATGCATTTACGAGTGCGCCATTGCCGACTTTTAGTTGTATCTCTCCCTCCGTCAATTGTCTACATTCATGCAGGTCCTGCATAGAAGTACAGATGTGAGAACCACATCCAGTATCCATCACCCAAGAGGTGATATGAGACATATTGACTTCAATAACGAAGATACCTCAGTTTTGGGACTGACCCTGGTAAAGGTCTCTGAAGCATTGTATCATAGGATGCACTTCCATGTCCGCATGGAGCCTTTGGAGCTCTGCGGTAATACTGGCCATAATGATACACTTTACATCTCGCGCGTCGTCCTCATACTTCTTGAAGGAAGTGAGTTTGGACGCACGAGCATTAGCATCAGGGGTCTTGGGAGGATCCGTTTCGAGGATGTAGAGTTTCCTCTCACAGTTAAGAACGATTCGGAGGTTCATCTCCCAGTCAAGAAAGTTGGTCCCGGATAACTTGTTGTTTTCCAGGATGTAAGGCAGGTTGAAAGGGTTGTTGTTGTTTGCCATCTACAGAAAATTTTGCAAACTAGGTTATCTATCATGTTTAATAATTAATTAGGCCTTTAATTAATTATCTCCCACTATTTTTAACAAACCAATAACCCTCGATATTGATTCGGAGATTTCCGGTGAAACCTCTAGTGGGCTAAGATCCATATTTCATTATCTTGCGTTCCGCTTGGGCGTTACTCCCCAAGACAACTATTTAGGTAGGAACATAGTTCCAACTGATGAGACAGGCTCTCAGCTCTTGGTCTGGTGTTGGGCGAACAATATTACTACAACCGGACCAGGACACCTTTTCACCATACTTGTAATTGGCTGAGGCATGTCTTACAAGCAGACTACTTTAGTTAAGAACAGAGTTCCAATTAAATCATAAAGATCCAACTCCTGGCTGGATGAGTGAGTAAAATCATCCGACTTGTCATTGATGACCCCAACTTACTGCCTCTGAGTCGTCCATCCATTTGACCGAGATTCAGTTAAGTCTAACCCAACGTGCGACAGCGACCACGCTATGGCAGTTCCCGTAACCAGCTTAACATACACCATACTATGCTCTGCTGAGGCTGAGTACATGACAGTGCACATTAGCTGGATAGGTGCCGGGTGTCAGAAGGCAACAGACTTAATATTCGTGAGTGATTTATAATTTCGATCTCACCTATCGACATGGCCGCGCACATGTCCATTACTAGCGTTCAACATACATTCAACATGTATTCACAAAACGCAGTAAATAAACGTGTAATGATTGTGGCCCCTAAAAGAAAAATAAAACGATAGCTCCCACTAGCTTTAAGGCACTTGGACTTCAGGCTATCTCCATTCTTTTAGATTTCTTCAAACGGTCTTCAAATCCTTTCGTCTTCTAACCACCACGCGAGAAAAGAATCCTTGGTTGTGGTAAGAGAGAGAAATAGATTTACAACAAGAGTTTAAGAGATAAGGCACGACACGCAGGCCGTATTATAATCAAATAAACTATAGCAACAATCATCCACCATGCATATCATACATCCACACAAGCAATAGAGATATACATACACTGGGTGAGCCGCGCTCACCCTAGACACTCCTAGAGAAATACTACGGTTGTAAATATTTTCTAAAACTCATAAAATTAAATTAGATGTCCAAATAAATCTAATAAAATTTTATTATAATCATTTTATGCATTCAGGATATTTTGCCAGCATAAAAAAAATCCAGAATATTCCAATTGACCAAAATGCCCTTTTTGCAAAATTATTTTCAATAAGGCAATAAAATTTCAAAACAATTTTGCAAAACTCATGAAAATTAAATTTCAACTTCCAGTAGTTATTTTTAACATTAATAAACCTGGAAATAAAATTTCCAAAATTTATAAATCATTATTTCCAAAATATATTAGTTAAATCTCTATAAGTTATAAAAGGCCATTTAAATTATTTTCGAAAATATTAAATCATAAAAATTTAATATTTTAAAAAAAATTCTTTTTCTTACTGAGATATAAATTTTCAAAATATAGATTAGTAATTTATGTATTTAAAATACAAATATATAAATATATATAATATTTCAGTAATAATACCGAGTACATATATAAATATATATTTATTTAATTACTAACTAATATTATTTTGTACAATATATTTGTCAACAACCTTATTCAACTTAGAAATAGTATTTCTAAGTTTAATATAGTTCATTTTGAATTTTCCCATATTTATTTTCGGTTTTCACCTAAAGAAATACAATAAATTCAAAATAGGAAATAATACATTGAAAAATTACAATATAATTTTATCAATCCTAAAATGATGTTTTATGTACAAATAAAATTACATTTACTATTTCTACAATATATATAAATATATATTTCGAAAAATCAAAATATATGTATTTATATATATATTACGGGTAGAAATAAAATAAATAAATTTAAAATTCATTTTCAATGATTTATTTAAGTCCAATACTTATTCAAAGACTAAATAGAATCATTTTACAAATTTTTGAATTTTAATAATTACCAAGTTAAAACTTTGACTTTTAAAATTTTAAAAGTCAAACGTAAAACTATAGTTTTGTACGTTGGCTCTGATACCACTGAAAGATAACCATGTAAGGATAGGTAGCGAATTATAAAATTTTAACATCCTAACATGATTATCTTGCCCAGAATCACGTACTAAAACTTATAGTGAGTAAGAAATTTATACCTTTCACTGTAAGCGGTAAAAACGAAGAAGTCATAGGAAGAGCGTTGAAAGTGCAAACGTAACCGTTCAAGCATGCGGTCTCCAACTTTGACACAAGAGCAACGCCGTAGTCTACCACAATCTTTATGCTAGTAAAGATTATAGTAGTATAAAATATAAAGATTAAAATTTGGGATAATACTAATCTTGTATATTTCTATAGAAAATATTTCTAAGAATTTTTAGAAAATATTATAGATATTTTCTATACACAAAATGATATAAATGGAACCAATATAATATTTTCTCTCACTAGAAAATATTATGGCCGAAAGTATGCCTTAAACCTTGGCCTAATCTCACACCCCCTTTTTATTTTGAAAGTGGCGTCCAAAAAATATATGAAAACAAAAGATTAATTTGACTTTGTCATTAACAAAATGACAAAAAATTATTAGCTCCACTCAAAATTAATCAAACAAAATTTGATTCCTTAAGATATAATTTGGCCGTATGTTTTTTTTTTATTTGAGAAGGATTTCAAAAACTCTTCCCCACTTAAATGTTCAAAGTGTATTTTGTTTGACACCAAAAATTAATATAAAATTAATTTTAAATCAAATAAAATACCAATATCCTTTTTAAACAAGTATAAAATATACTTCAAATAGTTTATGTCAGAATAATTATTTTTCATAATTAAAATGACAAACCAAAATAAAATATTCAACATATAATATATTTATATATATATTTCGGTGTTAGCATATATATATATATATATATATATATATATATATATATATATATATATATTAAATATATATATAAACCGTATATATAATATATATTATACTCCAAAATATTTTATTTTACTATTTTACAAATATACAAATTACTTATTATCCCATTGTTTAATCCTACTCCTTAAATTGTCCAAAGTGTGTGACCCGTATATGCACTTATAAAGCTGGCCACAGTATTGGCTCTGCACCAATACTATAAGCAATAAGCGGTATCTAGCAACACATTATTGCCCCCAAATTATAAGTTAAGACGTTTGCACCGTCAAAACCTTTCAACGACTCAGACTCCGTGTAGCTGTATCCCTTTGTCTCAATGTCTAGACTTAATGCAAGGGATTAATAAAATCCAGCTTGTATCCATTAAGTCATTCACTGATTTATAAAGTCTGACTGATAGGAACAGACGTCATAAAAACATCTCAGCATGGCCATGCAATTTCCTCAATCATAACTTATGAGTGGGCCCCATAAGACATTAATGTCTTTTAAAAAGAGTAGTGACAAATCCTATGTACGTCATCTACGTTTCTGAATACGCGCTGCGGCATACCCAAAACAAAGCCTGTATACCATCATTATTTCATATGGCTTAGCACAATGCATCAAAGTATGCGGGTTCACATATGCAGAAAACATAATACTTCAAGTCGAAGGATAGTTACACCCGTGGTCGCGCTAAAGATGCTTAGAGCATGAACTAAAAGTTCAAGCAACATCTTTAGGATGGGTTAGTCCGGCATCCTATTATCTCTAGATAATATTTGCCCATGTGCGGATGCAAACACACTGTCATTGACTATGAGACTATGTCAAACATCCAACACACACTAGTCTCACATGCATTAACAATATCCTACTCTCATTAATACTCGACTTGTAACACCCCAATCCGTATAACCCGGAATTACACGAATTAAGATGAAACGAGAGTTAAATAAAAATTTCGCTTGACATTTGAAAATGACAATTACTTAAAAATATTAAATTTACAGACTCTGGATCGCGACCCATTTAAAAATATTTTTAGAGTAATGCGGAAGTACAATAATAATCAAATCATGACACATTTTAAAATCTGATGATCAAACATTTGCCTGCGATCCTTGCATCTCCTCTGACTCAATGCCCTCCGGGAATGGTTCCATCAGTGTCTTCTTGTTACCTACGTGTAGTCAACGAAAAATACAAACTACACGCTCAGCGAAACCGCTGAGTGGTACCATGCTAGAATTGTAGAATGATTCACAGACATATACATATACATATGTATACGTCCACAAAATGTATAGTAACATTCATGATATGGCACATATTATCATATGGTCAATTTGATGAATCATGATGATAAATATTTAATGATAATTACATGATGGCACATTTAATCAATTTGCTTGTGAGGATGATTACATGATACCTATGTAATCAATATACTTTTTCTTGATGATGATTACATGACACCTATGTAACCAATGTAATTGTACTTGATGATGGTAACATGATGCATGATCCTATAACTTGCAAGGACACCCTTGCGCTATGAGATTCGCCCATTTGGTACGACGAACTCACGCGGCCTTAGTCTCACGAATGAGGTGAGACTAGAAAAATAGGGGTGGTACTCGAAACCTGAATACCATGTACGTACACTAAACCCGGAAAGGGTGATGTCGGACTAGTAAGTCCCGCACATCACGCTATAAGAGACGCAATTACGCATGATCTCTTACGCATGCATATGATGTGATATGCTACAATATGTGTGATGAAATGAATGATATGAAATGAACAATTTGTAAACAATATGAATATATAATCATGCATTAGTTTATTTGGATGAAACATGATTAAAATATCATTTAATTAAGCTACGGGGCTCGGAACGGTCGACCGTTTGGTGCGACGGTCGACCTTGATCTTCATCAGATCGGATTGGCGGATCACCGTGACGGTCGACCGCGGTTGACCAGCGGTCGACCGTTGTTGACTGGCTGGAAGTGACGGCCCTCGGCTGGATAAGCGGCAGTCGACCGTTCTCCGTCGGTGGTCGACCGTTCTGCTGACAGTCGTGGTCCGTTTCGAAGTTTTAACACGACGGTCGACCGTTTGGGTCTGCGAATCTTTCTCTTGATATTTTGAGTGTCCAAAATACTTCTTTAAGTATGATTAACATATACATATTGTTGGGTTGATTTCCAAGGTTTGTATCTTCTTATGTGTATATTAACTTTATGAGTTTGGTGTATTTTAATTTCAACACATGGATGACTTAGATATGCATCACATATATATTTTGGGATGATTTCAACATATGGAATAATATATATGTTCATGTACGAATTTGATGAATGATTCGACAAGTCTAACGCAAGGGTACAGACCTATAAATCATAGGCCGAAACCTTACGGATGAGCGGGAGTGGAAACAACATCGAAATTCGCCAACTTTGTCATTCTCGTCACAATTGGACAGCCTGCCATAGTTTGGGCATATCTCCATCGTTTCTTCACGGAATTGCACACCGTTTGATTCTGTGGATTCCTAAGATGTAAGGCTATAACTTCCGTATAGAAAGTATTTCGAGTTAACAGATGTAAGATAGCATAAATCGGACCTGAAGTCAAAGGATAGTTGCTGTCCAGGATTTCGGATATGTCGATGAACAACGATTCCGACGATTAACTCATTAACTTCAATATTCCAACACCGAACCTTCTCTACGATACCTTCCGGATGTTCCTAATAATTGTTAGAGAGTTTATGGTAAGTGTTTGGAATGAAACATCATGAATATGGTGAGGAAAATGGTCCAACCCGAGGAGCTCGCCACCACTGGCGCAGTCCTGGGATTTTGGCCATATTTTCTTAGTTACTTAACGAAATCGCGAGCCGTTTCTTGGGCTGGATTCGTATCGTCCGGGGCTACAAATTCGGTTCAGAGAGTATTTCGAGAATATGGATGGAAAATTTCAGTTTTACCTTAAAGTGGCTGCTGCGTTTTTGAGCTTAAGATTTGGAAACTTTGGATGGTTTTCTTGCTTCTTCTCCTTCTTCCTTAACATACAACCATGGAGTTGGAGTTTTCTTTTCTTTTGTTTGTTGCTGCCGACAGAGAGAGAGATGGAGAGAGGTGGATGCATGTGGATGGATGGTGGTGAAACATAATGATAATAATGATAATAGTGGTTTTGGGAGTATTATATAATTAGTTTGGAGTATTGTATTAATGAAGTTAGTGGAGGATTATAATGAGATTGTGGTTATCTCCTAGGTTGGCTACGTGATGTTGGGAGGGATTTGGGAAAATAAAGTTTTGGCTTCTTGCCAAAACTGAACAGTTTACTCCAAACGGTACGTGCTTTTTCGCCCAAACTGTTCCAAATTGAAAACGGATTGCGATTTTGGAATGAGACTGTCAAAACTAGAATTTTGACGTAATCAAAATATTTTTCTGAGAATTTTTATTTTTCTTAATGTCTGGGTGTGTCTCTGTCGTAAATTAATCTAATAATATGAATGAGATAAAAATATATGAATTAAATCCAAATGATAAATATGGTGTTGTCAAGTGTTAGAGATTAAGATTTCTAATCTTATGAAATCACTTTTGAATTGACTTTATTTTATGGGTCAAAGTTACAAATTTTAATATTTAAAACCGTCATAGTTTGAAATCTATAAATCAGATGGGTTCATAAAATGTACCGTTGGATTCATCTCTTCGAGACATATCCATAAAAATAAGTTTTTTAACAAAAAGTAATTATTTTGAAAGTCCATTTATTTTTAGTCAAACGTATAAATATTCCTTATTGGACAGAATTTACTTTTGTTTTATAATAAATTTTAGGCCATATTTTGTGGCGTTACATTTCTTCCTCCCTTAAAGAAATTTCGTCTCCAAAATTTCCTTAGGTGAAGTCATTTAAAATGATGATGTATAAAATCATGAATATCCATTGTTTTTATAAAACACCAATTTCGAAAAGTTGTTTTTCTCTTTGTTTTGTTGAGTGTCATGAGTATGACATGTTCTCTTTTGAGAAAGGATATACGCGGACGATAGATGTAATGTTTTTAGATTTCTTTTGATGAAGACTTGCGTCGAATATACTCTTAGACTTGCTCTTGTCGTGGTGTAGGAGTTTTCAAGAGGTTTTCTAGAATCATTCTCAGGCGACTTTGTCTGAAATGTTGGTTTCATGAATTATGCTTCGTTGTTCACAAGTTAGAACGCACTGTTTCAAAGTTTGACGTTATTACATAACGGTATTTTGGGAAATGACTATTACCATAGTCATCATTCTAGGTTTCTTAGATGAATATGTAATTATAGTTTCAAAACTTGAATTTTCATTAGCGATCCTTAATGGAGTTATTCTGACTAACGTAATGTCAACAATCTGATTTCACATGGCTTATGCATGCCTATAACCGTAAACATGCATATCACACTTATGTATAACAATAATATATGTTTTTATCACATTGTAATGATTGGATGAACGTATTGGATAACACTTGTTATTTTGTCACTGTTTGTATTATCAATATGATATGTAGTCATTCTTGAATACTGATTTTCTGATTGANTTGAATTTTCATTAGCGATCCTTAATGGAGTTATTCTGACTAACGTAATGTCAACAATCTGATTTCACATGGCTTATGCATGCCTATAACCGTAAACATGCATATCACACTTATGTATAACAATAATATATGTTTTTATCACATTGTAATGATTGGATGAACGTATTGGATAACACTTGTTATTTTGTCACTGTTTGTATTATCAATATGATATGTAGTCATTCTTGAATACTGATTTTCTGATTGATGATTCCAGAATTGCCTTGGAATTTCATACTTCCTCAATAATTATGATAGAGCTTCGTGCTTGAAAATTATAATATTAGTGTATTCGTCATATCACTAATATTCTTATTTTACATAATAGTTGCATTGCGTATTGCCAAAAACATGATAAGTTATACACATAGTCATATTCTAATATGTTTAGGATTCTACTGACACATGCGTGATTTTTTTTAAGATAAGTATAATAAAACATCTTTTTGGTTTGATGGAGAATTATGAGTTAAAACAAGTTCTCAATGATTTGATACAGAAAATGGAATTCAATCTTTTCAAGATTGATCAAGTGAGATGCTTCAAGTGTGTAATTAACACAACAAGTTTGAATATTTCAAGGATATAACTCACAAGATACAAATATAGCGTTTGCGAATTATCATGGCAAATCGTAGGTTTTCATCCTCTAGTGTTTCACTCTTTGGAAGTTACTCAAGGGGTCATTGTCTTAGGTAAATAACCACTTTGACTCTTGGTCTCGGATTTGAATGTATTTCAGGATAATGAGCCTAACTATTCATAAGTCTCAATATGTCATGTCGTCAGCAGATTGTAGTATTGGTGAGTACATTCTTGTCTAGAGCGAATCCACTTTCCTGTACGTTTTTAGGCTGGTGATAATTACTTTTCCATCAATGGTCCAGTTTCAGAGTCTATATATATCAAATTGTGGCAAGAACGTCTCACATTCTCACATTATGGAAGGAACTTCTCGAGCTCTTCTTAATACCATAAGATTCGTTGGTCTATTTGGTAGTCATGCTCTTGGTAGCAGTCCAAGGTTCATGGCTACAGCGGTTGATCTAGGACGGGAATTGGTAAGACGAAAAATTAGGCTTACCTACGGAGGAGGCAACGTTGGCCTTCAAGGAGCTGTAGCTTCAACGGTCTATAATAATGGTGGTAGAGTCAGAGGTTTAATACCAGGGTATATAGCAACACGAGGGGTCTATGGACCAACATATGGTGTGGAGTACACCGTCTCCAACAATTACTATAAGTATTTCGAGATGATTCATATTGTGGAAGCCTTCATTGTACTTCCTGGAGGGATTGACACTATCGAAGGTTTGTTCACCTTAATCTCATGGGCATCTGAAGGGTTGCACAGCAGACTTATTGGTCTCTTAAACATTGACGGTTATTTCAATAACCTAATCAAGTTTCTAGATGATGCGGTGAGGCAGAACTTCATGGCTTTGAATCAGAGGAAACTGTTCATTTCTTCTTTCTTTGTTGATGAGCTTTTGGACAAGCTAGAGTTTGCTAAGGCTTTCCCAGGTCTTGGTGCTAGTTATGAAGAGTTTGCAAATCCTGGAAGGTTAGACTTAGAGATGCATTTGTAATATTTCCAAGTTGAAATAATATTGTCCATGTACATTACGTGTCAGTTATAAATATCGTTCTAAGCTGCATGACCAGTGCATTTCAGAAGAATATTTATTTCCAACATCAAAATGTACCATGTAAATATTAATCCTTTTCTTTATCTTCCAGTCTTTCACTGTTGGTGTGACTGTTTCACATCTTGTTTTGTACTGTCATCTTGTTGCGACCTTTTACGTCAATAGGGTATACGAACGATTCAATTATCTTAATATTTGTATGTAGTTTCACTCCTATAAGGCGTTTCAGATTCAATACATATTCCGTATTTGATCTGGTTTGCGAGGCTCTATTCTTGTTCTTAGAAAACGATAGATTCACTTTTGGGGATTTGTTCACTTTCTATCGAAAAGGGTTCTTTCTTCAACGTATTCTTCGGATTGTGAGAAGTTGATTCACATCTTTCATTTAGCCATTCGCGTACTATGACATACGTATATGTTGCGCTTATCGGGTTTACAGTCCCTCTTTTTGATCTTCTGATGTTGACTGTGATCGTCGAAGAACATTTCGAGGCAATCTAAAGCTTATTGCAATTGGAACTATGTGGATACTAATAACTCAAAGGAAGCAGATTTTCAATGAGTTAAGTACGTGTGTTATGTCATAATAACTTACTTGTTGATTACCTTCCCGGGGCAGAGATGTCGTGCAGGATGCGGATGCAGGACTTTGAAAATACTGACTCAATGATCCGAAAATTGTTTTGCTCCGATACCAAAATGTAACACCCCAATCCGTATAACCCGGAATTACACGAATTAAGGTGAAACGAGAGTTAAATAAAAATTTCGCTTGACATTTGAAAATGACAATTACTTATAAATATTAAATTTACAGATTCTGGATCGCGACCCATTAAAAAATATTTTCAGAGTAATGCGGAAGTACAATAATAATCAAATCATGACACATTTTTAATTCTGATGATCAAACATTTGCCTGCCATCCTTGCATCTCCTCTGACTCAATGCCCTCCGGGAATGGTTCCATCATTGTCTTCTTGTTACCTACGTGTAGTCAACGAAAAATACAAACTACACGCTCAGCGAAACCGCTGAGTGGTACCACGCTAGAATTGTAGAATGATTCACAGACATATACATATACATATGTATACGTCCAGAAAATGTATAGTAACACTCATGATATGGCACATATTATCATATGGTCAATTTGATGAATCATGATGATAAATATTTAATGATAATTACATGATGGCACATTTAATCAATTTGCTTGTGAGGATGATTACATGATACCTATGTAATCAATATACGTTTTCTTGATGATGATTACATGACACCTATGTAATCAATGTAATTGTACTTGATGATGGTAACATGATGCATGATCCTATAACTTGCAAGGACACCCTTGCGCTATGAGATTCGCCCATTTGGTACGACGAACTCACGCGGCCTTAGTCTCACGAATGAGGTGAGACTAGAAAAATGTTAGAATAAGTGACCAACGCTATTCACCCTCCCTCTAGCGTTGGTCACTTATTCTAACAATTGGTATCAGAGCCTAACTCGCGTCCAAACTTAACCGTTTGAGGGTAAGCGATCATGGGTTCTTCTTCTAGAAATCTCTATGCAGGAATTGGAGAAGGTCAGTCTACGTCTAGGCCACCACTCTTTGATGGCACCAACTATTCCTATTGGAAGGAACGAATGAGAATCTACATCCGTTCCACCAACTTCCAATTATGGTTGGTCATCAAAAATGGAGAACAAATTCCAATGAAGAAAGTTGGAGAAACCACGGTCCCAAAGACCGAGGACGAATTTGATGCCGAGGACATCAAAAAGGTGGAGAACTACGCCAAGGCTATCAATATGTTGTACTGTGCCGTCAATCCTGATGATTATCGCAAGATTTCTTGCTGCACCACTGCAAAAGAAATGTGGGACAAACTGGAGGTCACATATGAAGGTACGGACCAAGTTCGGGAAGCCAAAATTGACTTCCTAACGCATGAGTACGAGATGTTCAGGATGAAGGAAGGCGAAAAGATCGATGATATGTTCGATCGGTTCTCAAAAATCATCAACGATCTTCATGCACTCAAGAAGACTTACACCAACAAGGATCTTGTAAGAAAAATCCTGCGAAGTCTCACACCAGAATGGAGATCAAAGGCAGACGCAATCTATGAATCCATCGGAGTCTCGAATGTCACCATCGACGGGCTTAGAGGTAATCTCAAAACCTATGAATCTACTATTCTAACACCGTCTTTGGATGAACAAAAGAAGAAGGGTATAGCGCTGAAAGCAACCAAGGAGTCCGTGGAAGATGACTCAAGCGATGATGACAACGAGTTCGGACTCGTTATCAAGAAGTTCCAAAAATTCATGAAGAAAGAATTTGAAAGGAAAGGAAGAAAGCACGACGGCCCCCCGAAGTGCTATGGTTGTGGTGAGATAGGCCACATCAAGCCGAGGTGTCCAAAAAGCAAAGGCGACAAGGACAAACCTGGCTTCAAAAAGAAACGCGCCTACATCTCTTGGGGAGGCGACTCCAAGGATGAGTCAACGGATCAAGAAGAGGAGGAAGCCGCCAACCTCTGCCTCATGGCGCACGAAGATCAAACTGACGAAGTTCAAGAGGTATGTATCAATTCTTCCGACTCTTATACTTTTGAAGAAATGCAAGAAGCACTTCATGAGCTTTATGATGAATTTGTTAGCGCTTCTAAAACCAATAAATCTTTAAAGAAACGTCTTTCAACTCTTAAAAGTGATTTTGACAAATTGGAAAAAGATAATGAAAGGTTGAAACAAGAAAATAAATTTTATGGTAAGAGAAGTGCTGACAAACCAGAAAGTTCTTCAAGTGAATGTGAATCTTGCAAGACTTTAAAAGAAAAAGTTGCAAAACTTGAGAGTACGGTTAAGAAGTTTAATACACCACACAAAAATCTTAATTTACTTCTAGACACCATGCACTTTTCTAAGGAAGGAATAGGTTTTGATAAAAATGAATCTAAGGATAAAAACGTTGAGCAAACATCTAGAAAACCTCCTAAGGCTCAACATAAGAAAGTTAAAAATTAGGATAATAGAAAATCTAGTCAACCTAGGGACACTAGACAACCTAGACAAAAACCTAGGAATGAAAATGTGCATGATAGACAACCTAGGAAAAGTTATCAAAATAATTCTGTGCGTAAAAATAAGTTTTCAAATAGACATAATAATCCTAGAACACCTAGAAGGGAAAATTTTCAAAAACCAAGTTTTTCTCACAACAGGATGAATACGGTTAGGCCCCCTAGCAACTACTATCAACCTAGGAGGATGCATAACCCAAACGTAGTTTGTCACTATTGCAGTAGGGTAGGACATATAGCTCCCGTTTGCTTTACTAGGCATAGGCATTGGGCACAAAATGAATCACACTACTTTGCACCTAACACTCAAGGACCCAAAAAGACTTGGGTACCTAAATCTTATTAAATCATCTTTGTAGGTATGCTTGAAGGCATCAAGTGTACTTTGGTACCTTGATAGCGGATGCTGCAAGCACATGACCGGAGATGCATCCAAGTTCCTACAAATCAAACCCGCTAAACGAGGAAACGTAGTCTTTGGAGACAATAGCAAAGGAAAAATAATTGGCATCAGTTCAGTAGGTAAGTCCGAAGACTCCTCTATAGATAATGTCTTGCTTGTTAAAGGTCTTAAACATAATCTCTTGAGCATAAGTCAATTATGTGACAAGGGAAACCATGTGACCTTCGATTCAAAATCATGCACTGTGAAACGCCTTAGTGATAATAAGGTCATTCTACGTGGTGATAGAATCGATAACATTTATATGGTCAACTTAGACAAATCTCCTTCCGGCTTTGCCAAGTGCCTCATGAGTAAAGAGGAAGACACTTGGCTATGGCACCGTAGGGTAGCTCATATGAACATGAACCTTTTGAACAAATTGGTTTCACAAGACTTAGTAATTGGCATCCCAAAACTTAAGTTTGAAAAAGACA